GAATTAAAGTAAACAAAAAAATGATTATAGAAAATTATGAAACTTATTTCTACAACGCGTGGAGATTGATCATCAAGACCATGTGGTCGGGTGGTTTTGTGAATTGTGTTTTGGTGGAAGTTATTAATCTGGAATTTATGTGTGACAACTGACTTAAAAACCATGGATAACGAATCACGTAGTTGTGTCTTCCACTAAGACTGGTTTTATATTTATGTTATAATGACGGAAATGTATATTGATATATCATACACGTGAACTATTGGGGATCAACCTTTTATCTATAGTGTCCACCTTAAGCAGATAATATTAATTATATTAAAAATAATATTATAAATTTAGGATATTAAAATAGATTAATCCAACTTAATTTTATAATTAAAATGAATTTAACAATGTTTAATTGTTAAACTCGAATCACTCTATCACACAAGTTGATTTCTCATGGATCAAACCCAAACATAAAAATAAATTAACACCAAAATTTAACTAGTTTCTTTCCGAAAGTCTAAAATGGTACATCTCGTAGGGGTATCATCTCCCTCCCACAAACATCTACTATTAATAAAAAAATTACACAACATTCTAGCCAGTGTTTTTTGTGTGTTCAGATGCAAGTAAAAAAAAGATACAAGAAAAACAAAGAAAGATCAAAGAAACTCTACTTCACAAAGACATTACTAGAACAAAGAAAAAATTTACACAACGTTCTAGCCAGTGTTTTTTTCTACCGATCTCGCTGCAAACTCTCTCGACTTTTGTTTATGTTTTATTAGGGTTAATCTTTTGTTCTCCGTAGACTCTTTTTTTATTCTTTCCTTAAGTAACATAATAGGCTTGTATAAGGAGAACGATCATTTCCTAGGAATCAACTGCTCAATTTCTTATATATTATTTGGATAGTGATTCTTAAAAAAATGATTATGTGGCTTCTTCATATTCACTCTCCCAAAAAAATGATTATGTGGCTTCTAAATGTGACATGGCAAAATTATTTCAAACATTTAGCCACTAATAATGTTTAAATTATTATCATTTTAGCCCACTAATTATACACATAAAAATTATAAAAATCCCACTAATGGTGTTTAAATTTTTGTTCTATTTAGTCCACTAATTATACACAAGAACATTATAAAGAGTCCACTTATGGTGTTTAAACTTTTATTCTATCTAGCTCACTAATTAAAAATTAAAAAAAATCATGTTATAGTAAATCTTTCAATGAGTGAAATTGATATCTAAATCTTATATTTTCCTAATTATCCCAAAAAAATAAATAAATAATTCTTTAACAAAATATGAAAAAGTGGAAGAGACATTAACCATAAGAAAAATAAAAAACAACAAACTTTTGAAAAACAAAAGAAGAGGAAAAGATAGAGTATTTGGTTTATGTTGTATGAAAAAATTATTAATTTTACTTTGTTTAGAAGAGTTGCTCACATTAATTTTTTTAATAGTTTGGTGCCGAATTCAATTTTTATTCAAAATTCAATGCGAAGAAAATGATTTTTTTTTAAAAATGATCAAATAGGGGGCCATTCTTTTATGAAAGGAACCTCGACTCTTAATAATAAAATGTGCATTCCAATGTATTAAATTATTACACATTTGATTTAATATGTGTACATATATAAATAATAAAATTATGAAATAATACACTGGTATAACTAAACTTTCGAAAATTCATATTATTAACAAAACCAATATTATTGACAAAAAAAGTTAAAAAAAAAACTATCGATAACAATGTCTATAATAAAAATTAAAACAAATACATATTTTCACATTTTTAAAGTGTAAAATTAAAAAAAAA